GCGAGGTGAATGGCGGCGCTTCCGGCGCCGGGCGCCGCGTCATCGCTCCGCGCGCGCCGGAAGCCGCGGCCCGCCCTGCTTCCGCCCTGCCCGCCCTTCCAAGATGGCGGCGGCGGCGGCGGAGGAGCTGGAGCCGGAGGCGGAGCCGGAGCGGCTCGCGGAGCTGCTGGAGGCCGGCTGGCGGCTGCTGGACGAGGTGGAGGGCGGCGCGGAGGCCTCCTCGGGCGCGGCCGCCGTCCAGCGCAAGGTGCAGCGCGGCATCCGCCTCCTGGAGCGCGCCGAGCGTGCCGTCGCCGAGCTGCAGCTCTTCAGGTGCCGGCGCGGGTTGCGGGGCGCGGGTTGCGGGGCGGGCAAGGCAAGGCAAGGGGGGCGCGGCGTCCCGGCCCGGCTCCAGGCCCGCCGCCCCCCGCCCCCCGCCCCGTCCCCCCGGCGGGCCCGCGAGAGGCCGCGGAGGAGCATCGCGCCCTGTCTCTTCTCGCCTGCAGCCGCAACGAGGAGCTGGAGGAGCTCGCGTCCGCGGACCTGCGGTTCATGCTGGTGCCCGCGCTGCTGGCGGCGCTCGTCCTGAGGCAGGGCGGCCCCAAGCAGCGGCTGGAGCACCTGCTCAGGGCCCGCGCCTCCTTCGTGAAGTTCCTGGGCGTCTGCAAGGACTACGCGCTCGGCCAGTGTGAGCTCCCCCCGCAGCCCGACAGCCCGGAGGAGGGCGAGGCTGCCGGCCACTCGAGGAGGCTCGCCGCCGCCTCTGATCAGGCGGCGCTGCTCGCCATGGCAGCAAAGAGGCAGGCGAAAATCGGAAGGTCGGTAGCAGGCTGCCATCGTTGCGCTCCCGGGCCTCAGAGCAGGTGCCAGTATCGATGGGGCGGGCACACGGGAAGGCTTGCCGGGGCAGCAGTTTTGATGAAAGTGGGCAAGGGCTTGCCGCTAGCCCAGTGTGGCGGTCAGATACAAGGGCGAAGCAAGCATGGCCACTCAGGCGTCTGGCCTGTAAAGGGCATGGGCCACCTTGAAGGTAGGCCAGTTCTCTTTAGTTTGCCAGGGAGGAGGCATATTCAGTCTGGAATTAACTTCTTCTGTGCATTTCCCTAATAACCAGTACTATTACATTGCTTTTGTGTTTTGTCACTGACTTCCGCAATACTCTTTTGTGTCAGAAAGCCAGTCTAGCTGGTCATGAAGTCTTACCTAGAAGGCTGTCCTGGTTGGCTTAGAAGGCAGGGAAGTAGATCAGCTGCCAACAAATTGCAGAAGAAGCAAAACGTCCACCTTCATTCCACTGTTGCCTCCTTGTTGTTATTGCCTTGTAATCATATCTTGTTGTGAGGATCCCAACACATCTTACCTAGCTCCATTTTATTTCCACAACAACAAGACTGTGAGGTAGGTTAGGCTGAGATTCAAGTCACCCCATGAGTTTCATAGCCAGGTGAGAACTAGAAAGTGGATCAGTAGCCCAACCACTAAACCAGCTCTAGCATTCATAATTACGTTTCTAGTTACTTGATTTTCTTATTCCAGATGGCCCAGATTGTAGATGTAGGGGCTTTGTGAGATCTCCCCTTTTCCCAAAACAGATACAAACAGAAAAAGGAAGTGGAGAAACAGCTGGCTTCCTTGAAGCCCTCCATTGATAGTGGCCAAGCAGAGGAGGAGCAACTACGGGAATTCTACATACTGCAAATCAAGAAGTGGATCACCATAAGCTTGGAAGAAATCGAAAGCATTGATCAAGAGATAATGATTCTCAGTCAGCGGGAGGCTCTCAAGCAGGTGAAAGTGTGATGGTTGCCTGACATCAGCAAGCTGATTATCTGACCTTTTTTTTTCATTTACTATTTGTTGTGGAATTCCTTAAATCAAAATCCAAAGAAAAATGGCAATATTCAGGAAATGGCGGAAAGTTTTTATTGGCCCCACTAGCTGATCCAAGGTACAAATCAGCTTATCTGTCCAAGTCGGCCAGACAAAAGTTTTCTTACCGATTTTAAAATAAAGTTATTTTTGTATGTGCAGATCGGTGAAACTTTAATTGACACAGTGGTGTGTGCTGTACCTCTCACTGCTTGGATGGAACGTCGAGGGTACCCTGTGTGCTTCCCTATGTCAGTAACTCGACTGAATCCATCTGGGGAGAGGATTTCAACATGGAGATTCCAAAACTAACCAGGGTTAAAAGTCTAAGTAGCAAATACCAGAAGTTAGGATGGGCCAACGAATAATCCTGATAGTATAAAGCAAGACATTTCATTGGCTCTTGCATCTTTTTCAAAGATATTTGTGATGAAATAATCATAAAAAATTCCAAAAGAAAGCATTATTTTTTGGAAATACTTGGCAGGTACAGATAGGAGAATTTCATGTAAAACAAACAGAATCTCTGGTATAATTGTCATCATAGATCTTTACCCAATAAACTCAACTTTAATGATGCCCATCTATCAATATTCCATAAGATCTTAATAATCAACTTACTTAAATTTAACTTTTTTGAGATAAGCTGATAGGGAATCAATCATTCCCAGATAAGTAATAAAATCTGGATGAGGTTTAAAGTACTAGTTAGCTATGGGATCCTGGCTTAAGTGTGGGAATGCAGGCAGATGGACACTGGAATGCTTCAACTCACCCTTTTCAGTGATTGTGCCTCGCTATGCCACTGTTTTGGCCCATTCTTGCCCTTATAAAAATTAAGTACTAACGTGAAACTAACATGAAATGACCATATGTATGATGATGGTGATCTCTTTAATCAACACTTTAAATGTTTTTCATGGGCTTTTGTTTTAAAATTTACTGGTTTGCTCTGTCGCTATGTAACAGCCAAAAACCACTGTGGTGCCTTCTCTCCCCATTCTAGGATTCACCTCTGCAGCCTCCCCATCCATCCAGGCCTCCAGTGAAGCCTTTCATCCTTACCCGGGACACCGCCCAGGCAAAGTATGCCACTGCCCCGGTGTGGGGAGGAAGGGGAATCCAGGGTGGGGCGGGACTTCTGTGGTGTGGAGCGCCGCTGCTGCTGCGGCAGGCTCGGGCTGCCTGGCGCCGCTCGCCCGCTGCCTCAGGCGTTCAGGAGCACAGTGGGTGCTCCTCTTTGGCTGGCACTGCAACCCTGCCCTGGCTTTTTTTTCACAGGGTGTTTGGTGCTGGCTACCCCAGCCTGGCCACCATGACGGTGAACGACTGGTATGAACAGCACCGGAAGCGAGGCGTCCTGCCTGATCAGGGTGTCTCTCAAAAAGCCTCGGGTATGTGCGGGGCGGGGTGGCAAAGCGTGTCTTTGACTCTCAGGCCCATGGAGCGGGGTGTGATGGGTCTGAGCCATCAGAAAGCCCAGTGTTTGGCTACGTGGCTTGTTTCAAGGTTAACATACTTCTGGCTGGTACAAGCCAACCACACGACCGTCCACGGCATTCATGGCAAACGTCCAAAGTCATAGCAGGGCTCTGGGTAAAATTAGCACCCATCTGCCTGGCCTCAGCCGGCAAGGAGAGGTGGTGACAAGAGGGCGTGTCTTTGCGTGTGTGACTGAAGCACCTCTTGATTTCAGGCCACATTAGCTGAAATGGGTCCCACAAAATACAGCTCGATGGGGCACTGGGCACCTCACTGGGAGCTGCTGTAACCGGCCTCACGTTGCTTTGGAATGGGGTGGCTCCATTTTAACAGTGGGGAAGCATCAGAGGTGGTCTCTGAGCACTCGGGAGACAAGCTCTGGCATTCGTATCCCCCGAGCCACTTTGGAGAGCTCTTCTGGGAGGGCCCAGCAGCAGCAGCACTGCTTGGCGGAAGAAGGGGGCCTCCCACCCATCCGCTGGTGGGGTGGGAGGCAGGCTTGCTCTGCGTGGGAGGCTGGAGCCTGATGCTGCCTGAGCCCACGTGCCGGCCGCTTCACTTGCCTGCACGGCTCAAGGCAAGAGCCCAGGCTCGGTGTGAGGAGACAGCCGCCACCCTCGCTGCCCAGGGCTGAGGGGCAGCAAACCACAACCCGGATCCGGGCTGGTTGGGGTGGGTGACCTGCGCTAGGGGACCCTTGGCCCGAGCTGGTTCAGTGCCCGATTTTCCGCTCGCCTTTTGCTGGTCCCCAAGATGCCTGCAGATGGCGGCTGGCTTTAGGCCAACAAAGTTGGGTCAAAAATCAGGCTGAGGCTGGTTTGTAAAACACCATTTGTGCTTCTTCTGGTTTATTACATCATGATGCACAGACATGTGACAAGCCATAATTATGGTCAGTCTTCCGTCTCATCCATCTATTGCTTCATGAAGTTGAGTGAAACTATGAAGTTTTATGATGAGTAAGCAAAAAAAGCAGGCTTTGCTGCAAAGTGTCCCCCCCCCCACCCCGTTGTATGCCTAGAACCCCAGAGCTATCTTTAGTGTCAGCCTTGCTTTTGGAATAAGGCCCACACTTTGAGATGGGCTGATGGAGGTGACCATGCGCTCACTGTGTGTGCCTAGGAGCTGCGGGAGGCGGAGGGAGAATTCGGAAGCAAGCGCCAAGCATGCAGGCGTAAGGGCCTTGTTTGGCGGGCCTTTCAGTACAAATGCTGTGCTTTCGCACCGGGTAGGGTCTACATGAGAATATCAGTATCCATGCTATGTTGGAAGCTCCAAGGAATTACTGCACTGAGAACTGTGCAGCGAGCCAACTGCCCATCAGCAGGAAACGGAAGCTTAAATCTGGTGACTGGCAGGGAAAAGGTCTGGCCAGGCCAGAGTTTGTGCTTCCTTGTTCTTGCTCATCTCAGTGCTGGTGCAGCTAATCGCCCTGCTTCCAAGCCCGACCCACCCCAGCCCAGCCCTGCTCGTGCAGCCGGTGCTGCACCTCGGGGGGGGCCCTGCATCCCAATGAGGAGGAAACACAAATGCAGCCCAAAGCACGGAGCCGAGCTCAGCTGCAGCCAAGTCACCGTGCTCCGACATCCTGTTGCACTGAGTGAGGAAGTGTACCCCCCCGCAACAGCGGTGTTCTCAGCGTTGCTTTTTTGTTCAGCAGGTACAGAAGAGCAGCAGGCAAAACAGGAAGAAAAGAAAGAGCAGGAGGAAGATGATGATGAAGCAGTGTGGAAAGCACGGGAATGGGATGAATGGAAGGACTTGCACCCACGGGGTTACGGCAACCGGAAGAACATGGGCTGATGAGCGCCCAGGAACGACCCTGTCGGCCTCACCCAGCAGACTATGGGGAAGCGGGGTGTGCGGTGGGCTTCCCCCTCAAAGGGTGTGGGTGAATGAGGCACAGTTTATTGCTAGGAGTTGCGTCAAATGCCAGGCGTGGCTCTTGTGGGTCAGGATGCTGATGCTGCAGGAGCTTCATCCCATGGAAGCCTTACGAGCTGAGGGATGGGGGTGGATCGCCTGGCCTCTGTCTTTCCTGAAGTCCCACTTGATGAGTTGGATGAGGAAGTGCTTTTGGCTGCTTTAACTTATTTCTTATTTAAAAGTGTACAATAAAACACTGGTCCCTCCACCTTGGTGTGCTCTCTTCCCGGTGTCTCTCAGATTTTTGCCTTCTAGATTTTGGAGATCTCCACATGGCCAGTCAGAGTATTACTGTGAATATTTTAATGGCTTTGGCAGTGAGCATGTTCTGGAGCAATTCTGTCTTGCCAAGCTGTGCACTTGGCCCATCCTGCAGGTGGAGAAGCACGAACAGCTGCCTGTTCCCTGCAGCCACGTTTGCAGCAGGAGGGTGGGTTTGTTTTGTAATTTCCGGACTGGGTCACCTCACAATAGGGTATGACAAATTGAAATGCAGAAAGCCCCAAAACAACACAAACGGGCATGAGTAAAACAGTGGCCGGAATGTAGTCATTCATTGAAAGTACATGCCTGAAAATACTTTGGACTACAAAAGTCTGACCTGGGCAACAAAGACTAAGTTGCAGAGGTGCTGAGTGAGCGCCCATCCTCGGGGAGCCATCTGCAAGGGGCTGCGATGGAGAAGCAGCAGCTCCCCGGGCTTCGTTTGGGGGGCGGGCTGGCAGAGAAGGGCCTCTGTGGAAGATCTGCTTGGCCTGCAGGCCCCCCAGACGGAATGAGCCTCGTGGAGGGGACAGGCACCAGGCTGAGCAGAGGCCAGCACTGCAGGGCTGGATGGTCTGGATAGCTGGCCCCGGCGAGCCCACGAAAGCTTCCACGGGGGCGGTTTGTCCAAAGCGGCCCCCGTCGGGGCCAGGGCACGAAGCCTCCGCCCAGCGCCAAAGACGCTCTGCCGGGCTGCCCTGCTCGAGCGACTCCGGCGCGTACAAGCGCACCGGGCCGGGTAAGCCTCAGCCGCGAGCCTGGGGCGCCCTCCTGTGGCCAATGCCGCGAATGGCGGCCGCAGCACCTCTTATGCATTAGCGGCGAGCCCGGAGCGCCCTCCTGTGGCCAATGCCGCGAATGGCGGCCGCAGCACCTCTTATGCATTAGCGGCGAGCCTGGGGCGCCCTCCTGTGGCCAATGCCGCGAATGGCGGCCGCAGCACCTCTTATGCATTAGCGGCGAGCCCGGAGCGCCCTCCTGTGGCCCGTGGCGAGAATGGCGACCGCTTGCCCCGGGGAGCGTTCGCTATACTGGGTGTCCCCAAAATGTTGACATTATTTGAAATGTGAATATCTGAGTAACTACATGTCCTAGGCAAACGAAATTAAATAGGCTTCATGTCGAACAATAAAAGATTTATTTATCAAAATTCGAACAAGAGATTCAAAGCGATGTAGATTTTATAACCGATTTCACAAAGCTTCACAAATGTTCAATATGCGCACGGCGGTCGTCCACCTCCTGTCAAACACGCTGTAGCATGTCTTGCGTAAAATGGCATAGCTAAGATTAGTTTTTACACATTTTGTTAAAATTTGAGATCATTTGAGTGAGAATAGGCTATGCTACGAGAGTACAAAATGATGTCAAGGTTTTGGGGAACCCTGTACAGGACACCCTGGAGCGCCCTCCTGTGGTCACTGCCGCCAATTGCGGCCGCTTGCGCCGGAGAGCGCCTCTTATGTATTAGCTGTGGGTCTGGAGCGCCCTCCTGTGGCCAGTGGCGAGAATGGCGGCGGCCTCCCGCGGCCGCGAGACCAGGCAAGCCTCAGCAGCCACCTCGGCCCGAAACCGGGCTGCCCTCCGGCGTCCAGCATCCTCTCGTGCGGGACCTGATCCCGTCAGCCCAGCTGGGACCCCCGCGCTGGAGCTCCGTGACTAATCTATTGACGCTGCGAGATCGATTTGTTGCTTTGTTTCCCAATGGTGGTGCCCCTCCCACACACAGTGCGTAGCGGGAAGCAGAGAGGCAACATGGCGGCCTCCGTGCAGGCTGAAGCAGCGAGCGGAGGGGGAACCCTTAGCGCGGCGCTCTTGCAGTAAAGGACGGAAATCCGTACAGGAGGTGCCACCGATGTTCTGGCAGAGGAGCGTCACTCCGTATCTCCTCATCTGTAAGGATAAGGAAAGCCGCCATGTCGGCGGCACTGACTCCT